CATTTCAAAATTTCAAATGTATGCTCAGGCTGAAACACGACATGCTAGCATTCAAAGTGGTGGGGTTTACAGAGAAAGATTCCTTTATTTACTCTCAGAAAGACTCTACTACTACTTTTTAACATATATCATAATTACAGTCCACATGGATGTACATAACCTCCAGGAAATCCTAGGAATTCTTGTTTCTCTTGTTAAAAGTTAAAGAAATTTTGACATAGTGTCTTCAACAAATTAAATAAAGTAGCATTTTTCCCCCACAAGAAGAGACTGCTGAAACTAATGGATTAGGTAGTTTAGGACAAGAAAAAATATATGTGCTCTTCAGTTATGGAAATATCCCATCTGCAAAATAAAAACTCCTTGTTCTTATACTTCCTAGGTATTTTGGACTGATGTTGCAGAATAATGAAGTACAAGAACACAAGAAAATTGTTTCAATTGACTGACAGTAGTGAGAAACTCTATCTTATTTTTATAACAACAAGCTCTATAATGCCAGAGTGACTTCTGGACTCTATTTCCCTTACTTTGCTGAAGCGGCTCACAGCTGTATAGGCCTTGTTTCAACAGCAGGAAAAGCTTTTAAGGCGAAYAAAGAGAGGTTTTATCCAACCCTCGAAACATGACAGGTTTCATCATTTGCTGCTCCCCGACAGAACAACCTGGGCGCTGGCACGCCGCTGTTCATGCCAAAGGCAACCACCAAACTCCACAATAACTGTTCTTCATTGTTTTCTTATCCTACCCGTGCCTGTCCTACCTCTCAGCTATTACAATAAAAGCATGCATTTGTCATTTTTGGCACAAACACACTCTGTATTTTTCTCCTTCTCTGGTGTCAACAGCTAATCAGTTATCACGAGCAACTTAGGATACAGATTTGTTAAGTGAACACGCAGATGTTTCACAAACAACTGCACAATATCACCAGAATCCTCCATAAAACTCCAACAGCACTGAGGTTGCCCATCTCCTGCCACCTTCTAGTACTCCTGCTGAAAAAGCACACGCTTACTTACAAGGATGCTGTTTGTGGACAGCCTGCACCAAGTGGGCCGTTACGGAGCTGCTGGCAATGGTATCCTTTGGAAATATCCTGTACACTGATATATTGAAGGAACAAGTTCTGACAGGTGCCGAGCACAAATAACTTCCAGTGACTTGGGTCCAGGTTGTGGATACTTCAGCCTTTCCCGATTTATAACCAGGACGCATGGTTTTGCATCAGCAGAACAAGAGGTCTCCTGCACCACGGCTGATTTTCACAGCAAAGTCTACCAGATCATGAAATTTTTATCGCATCACATCATGGGGCTTTACCAAGCAAATGTGCTTAGCCAGTAGCCGAGGTTCAGCCGAACAACCACTGACAAGCTAACGCATATCAACCTTATCTGTTTATTTCAACTGTGCTGCTTGTCACCTCTTTTTTCACTCCCATCTCCCTCCCGCGAGCGCGCACGCAGCACAGCGAGCGTTTCTCCCCTCGCGGCTATCAGCGCTACGGAGGGCACAGCTCACTCGCAGCATCCGTCCCGCTTTCACCACACCAGGCAGCCACCGCAGCAGAAAAAAATCCCAAGGCAAACTTGTRTAAAATACTTTAATTTATGGCTAACAAGAGGAATGACGAAATGATTCTGGCGAGCGTAAGGCTACGTCCGCGACTGCTCGTCTTTGCTGAACGGCATCTACGCAGCACGTGGAAAGACAGGGTGGTTTTGAACTCAGTTAACTGCAAAGGCAACACGAATGTTCCTGTATCCGCACAGTTGTACGAAGGCCTCCTGGCCCTGGTAAGAGCCACCCTTTTAGTTCCTTTGTAAACTTTTAGATCCAACCTGTTAGCAAACTCTCTGTACAGAGTGCTGCTTCAGGTACTTTGGAGCCATTAGACTTCCCAAACAAATTCGAGCTCCATAGGTCAGACAGACATTTTTGAGCTCTGAATATTTGAAACTGTACATGACTGTGCAGCCAGTTTTCCTTTCAAGTTCTTTAATAAAAGTCACTTTTTTWAAAAAAGAGAAATGAACACTGGATAATTGAAAAATCCATTAAGAAAGCGCTGGGGGCTGTTATTTTGCTTTATACTAACTGACACTTTGCAAATGGCACCCTGCAAGTTAAGCCATAACTTCTTGTTAAAATGCAGCTAAAATCTATATTCCACCCCCCCGTTACACACATAGGTAAAAYACATAGTTGAAAGCACACTAAAGGACTGGGGAAAAATCCATGGAGCAGGCAGGTTACTTGATTGCCTCTGAATAGCAAATCATTCCCCAGCAGATTCAAAACAGGCTGTTTTACCGCAGAAACACATTTCTGGTGCCAATACCAGCAGTGAGCCYAACAGCTGAGGGAAGAAAAACGGTCCAGAGCAAGTTCGGGGCTGGAAAGTAAAGCTGGCCRAGCAAAGTGACAAAGCTCCCTGCCCGCTGTGGTTAGTGGGGACCAAGCCACAACGCCGAGCGATCCGGGCACTCCGAATCTCCGTGCCGTTTTCCCTGCTCAACGGCACAGTCTGGCGCTGCGGGAGGGGGAGACCCGCTAGCAATTATAGGTAGCCCGAAAGTTTTCCCTCCTCTGCCCGGGAGCTGGGCGAGCATCGGAGCCACGGGCAGCGGTCGGCTACGGGGAGACCTCCCGRAGCAGAGGCATTGGCCTCCGGCCACCAGGAGCTGCGGAGCCTCCCCGCAAGCCTGCCCGGCCTCCCTGCCTCCTCGGGGAGGCTGTGCCGCGCCCGGGGGCTTTGCCGCTCGCCATCCCGCCGTGCCAAGGCCAGAGGCAGCCGGGCACCCRCGCAGCGCCCGCCGCGCATGCAGCTCCGGGCAAGTCCCCTGCGAATGGCACGGAACGGCACGGAAACCAGGCACACGCACACAGAAAAGGCACAAAAACCCACAAACAGAAAGGAGGAGGGAATGGGTTGGCGGGAGAGGAGAAAAGAAGCGTTTTTGGTTTTGGTCTTTTTTTTCCCTGCTGCTGTTGCTGTGGCTCCCAAGCATGCAGTGCTAAGGAAGGTTAGATCCCCACTTTCCTCGGCCAGCTACATCCCTGGGATACAAGGGAGCAGTCCGGAATGATGCTGAGGCTGCAGAAGGGAAAATAAAGGCTCTGCAAACATGCCTGCCTTGCCATGCAATCCTCTCCTCCACATCCCCTCCTCCCTAAAACCTGCCCTGCAGGGGGAAAGAAAAAAGAGGGAAAAAAAAAAAAAAAAGACAACACACAAGGAACAAAAGTGATGAAAAGACACAACTCACCTTAACAAGGGGTGTTGGATGGGGTCAGAGAGGAGGAAGGGTATTATAAAAAGATCTATTTTTAGCGGAGGTTGTGATAGTATTGAAACACACAGACACAGGGTTTGGAAGCAGGGAGAAGAGTAGAAGAAAAAAAAAAAACGAGGGGAAGAGAAATTATCGCGAAGGTGCAAGTCAGTCTGGCGGGAGGAAGGAGAGTCCCCAAGAAAAAAAAAAAAAAAAAGAATAAAGACATTGCAGTCAGACCTCACTATTAGTATA